TTTTTGTGTGAAGATTGATGCAAAGTATGAGTTAAGCAGTTCTGCTTTCTCCCTGTTGCCTGTTATTTCCTTGCCATCTTCTCTCTATAGTGGACCTACAGTTTCCTTAATTTTTTTCTTGTTGTTAATGTGTTGAAAGAAACTTTTTTTAGTATCGATTTCTGTTGCAAGTCTTTCTTCGTTCTGAGCCTTTGCTTTCTTGACTTCATCTTTGCATGTTCTGGCTGTCTGCTGATAATCGGCCTTAGTTATGTGGCCCTTTTTCCATTTTTTGTATTTGTCCTTTTTGTCTTTCAGTTTGTCAGAGAGATCTTTGTGCAGCCATGCTGGTTTCTTCTTGAATTTCTTGTTTTTCTTTTTCAGTAGTATTGTGCTAGTCTGGGCTTTTATGATCTCATTTTTCAGTTTCCCATGCTTCTTGGGTTTATTTATTTATTTATTTATTTATTTTCAAATATTTATATGCCGCCCAATCCCAAAGGACTCAGTTGGTTGTTTTCCCCTTTAGGATTTTCATCCATGGGATCTTTCCTAGGTTCTCTCTGAGTTTGTTAAAGTCAGCTCTTTTGAAGTTTAAGACATTGGTTGGATTGTTTTTTATTGCTAGTGTTTGCATTATGTTAAATTCCAGTATAACATGGTAACTTTCATCCAAGTTTCCAGCAATTTCAATTCCCTCTATCACCTTTTCTCTATTAGTAAGGATTAAGTCCAGTATAGCTTTACATCTAGTTCCAACCTCCATCTTTGGGTGACAAAGTTTTCAGCTAGGTTGGTTAGGAATCTGTTTGATCTCCTGCTCACTGCAGAGTTTGTCTCCCAGTTGATATCTGGATAATTGAAGTCTCTCATTACTACTTTGGTATGCTTCCTACATACATTTGTTAACTAGTTGGCAAAGAACTTATGTATTTCTTCTGATTGGTTGGATAGCCTGTAATATACATCAATGGCAATGTCATTTTTTTTCTCTTTTATATTGCCCCATATACATTCTGGAGAGATTTTATCTTTGATCATGTGCATTTCTGTAGATACATAGTGTTTTTTTATATATATAGTGCAACTCCTTCTCCTCTTTTTGTAGACCTGTTTCTTTTGAACAATTTGTACCCATCCATCAGTCCATTCCATTCATGGGTTTCGACCCACCAGGTTTCGGTAATGCCAACTATGTCAGACCCTCCCTCATGTACTATTGCTTCTAGTTCACCCTGTTTGTTCCCCAAGCTTTGAGCATTTTTATGCAGGGAAGGAAGGAAGGTAATAGCATTATCTCTCTCTGTGTGTGTGAATAGAGTACGGAGATTCTTCCCTCCCCAGTCACAGAATGTGTTACAGCTCTCACATATGCGCGCGCGCACGCACACACACGCACACACACACACACACACATACACACCTGCAAATCCTTTTTGCTTCCTCAAGGTGGAGGGTGCAAGGTGATTGATCATTGGGAGGGGAGGGGGGAAGCAAACTTGATGGAGAAAGCAAAAATCATTTAGATGCATTTCTCCCAGTGGAGCCCCTGTATTGTAGGGGTCCTACAGGGGACCAAAGACCAGACATTGGCTAGGATGAAGGGGGACTGAAACCAGACTGGATGAACAGAGGGGGAAAGGGGAAGAGAGAGGTGAGCTGAGAGTCATGCAGAGGCCTGGCAGGCTGGAGTCCAGGCACAGAAGCAATAACAGGCAGTAGAGGTCAAAATGGGAAGCCCCCACTGCCTGCCTGTTCCCCTCTCTGCCCGGAGCCTCTGGTAGCTTTAAAAAAAAAGCCTGGAGAGCACTAGCTTCCTTTTTTTCTTCCACCCTCCCCTCTGTTGTCTCTGCTCCTGGATTCCGACCTCACACTGAATGGGGAGTTGGCCTGCTGCCCCACGCCAGGCTTCCCTCCATCCCTCCTGCCCCATGCCAGGCTCCCCCCTACAATTGGAGGAGCTGTGCCAGTGCCATTTGCCTCCTTCCTGCCCCACGCCAGGCTTCTCCTCCCCATAATCGGAGAAGCCACGCCAGCCCTGCCATTTGTCTGCTGCCCCACAACACAGCCCCTGTGATTGCCCATTGCACACTGCCCCCCTGAGAGCAACATGGCTATTACCTACCATCCATCTGATTGGCTGGTGGCTAATTGTCCCGTGCGGTGAAAAGCTCAGGACAAAGGGGGCCTCAGTGAATAGGCTGGGCCGAAGGGTGCAAGGCGGAGGACCAGGGCCCCATTGGCCAGGGAGAATGGGTGGGGGCAGCCCAGCCGAGGAGGAACGCTGCAGGGAAATGGGTGGAGGCGGTAGGCTTGAGGTGAAGGAGGCATGGTCAAGGGTAGGAGCCGAAGGATCCTAGATCCTCCCACATGTGGTTACTGAGTATCTTGGATATTTGAATCTATATATAAATGCATATATATACATGGATATAAATTCTATATACATATCTACACAAATGCATGCATCCCATCAATCCATTAGGCAAATATTGTGGCACACCAGAGTTACTTTGGAATGTTCTCTCCCTTATCTAAACTATGTGTGCCCATATAATTCCAATGTATTGGGTGTTAATTTTTGCTAATTGACTGGATGAGTTACCTGATACTTTCATCTGAAGTTTTCATGGCTGGTTTCACTGTATGACTCAGCATATTTTGAGGTTGCTCTGTTTGTTTCATTATTAACAGAAGTGCCATACTTCCCACCCACCTCCCTGCCTATACAAAAATAAAAATATAAGGCATAACATGGAGCCCACTATTACCTTACTGGTTCTGGTAGAGCATCTGTATTATTCAATTCAATAATAAATACAGAGATAAAAAAGTAATCTGGAACCATATCCCATTTGTCCTATTCCAACATTGGATTGGACAGATAGGACTCACTAAACTTTTGCTTTAGTCAGACTATCAGGGACTAAAATAAAGATTATCAGTTATTGTTATTTAATGTTTTAATTGAGTGCATTTTACAATTTTTAAAATGATTTTATTGGGAGCTGCCCAGAGTTGTCTGAAAGGGTGGAGGCTATGAAAATATTTTAAATAAATAAAATAAACAAATAAACTATCTAAATTGGGTTAGATCACAAAAGAATTCCTACATGGTTCAAGAGAAGAACAGTGTCAAGATAAACTCAGGTCTGGATCCAATTTGCAACTGTTTCATGGCCCCTTTGAACAGATACATTTTTTATGATGTGCTGCTAAAAAGTCTTTATGATTGCTTGAAAAGATTTAGGAAAGGACAGATCAGAATGAAATAATTAAATTACTCTTCCTGGCAGGCATAAATCTGGGTGTTTTTTTTTTTTAAATCCCGCATGATAATCTTTAGCTCAAATGCTGAAAAATGTGAGGATTTTATTATTGTTTTTACCATGTTTTGCAAATGATTTGTATTGAAGAAAAGTTCAGTAGAGTAATTTGGATTTTTAAACACCTTACGCTACCACACAGAGTTGATTTCATTAATCTATCAAGCATCTCAGAGCAATGAATGATGTCAATATAATAAATATCTCTTGGCAATATATGACAACCCAGATTGATACTTAGTTTGTTACACAGTGAAATACCCTAGCTTTTAAAATCAAATAAAAGATCAATTTGAATAGTGTATCAGCATTCTATATCTCTGAAGTAAATATACAATGTATGCCATGATAAAAAAAAAAATGCTATCCAATCTGAGGGAGCAGGGCTTTAGGGCAAGAACAAATTTTATAACATTTTCTACTCTGATTGAATTTAGCAATATAAACAGGCCTTCAACATACACAGTTGTTGTTCGTTAATAATAAATAGGAAATAAAGCTTCTGATATGAATATAATATTAATTTAATTCCAATGCCTGTTAATTTTAATTTTCAAATGGATCTATATTTTAATTATTAACTGAATTATTTTGCTACAATAGAAAGTAAAGGAACAAGTCACAACCAAGCCACAAACAGATCTATGCTTTCACAGTAATTCAGTGTATACATGATTTATTTCCTCCTGCTGGCCTTAATTACCCAGAAAGATAAATATAGAAGGATTTTCATTTATATTTAAATAGTGTGATAATGGTGGACTAGCCAGGTATGAAAAATATTACTCACTCAGGAAAATTTTACATAATCAGGTCTGTAGTCCAAGTTCCTTTTGATATTTTCCTTATAGTGTTAAAAATTATTCTTTTTTCATAATGTAGCTAAATTTCCATATGGAAAAAATATGCTAAGCAATTTAAATACAATAAAGCTAAAGAATCCAAGACAAATCCAGCATTTTATTTCATGATCAGAAATGATACAGCATCTAAGGATGCCACTGTATTGCAGCTTGGGCCGATCTAATGTTTTAAAAATCAAGGTGATACATATCCAGACACTTAGCTTTCTGCAACTCTCTCACAAGCCTCCATTCCATGCTTTTTTATGAGGGGAAGAATTATTTAAAATTATTTTATATAAATAATGGAATAAAAATCTTCTGTATTGTTGTGGACAACCCGCCTGCAGATAAACAGTCCCAGCCACTAATTGCCATGTCACTTTTGCTTTACGGTATTTCTTATTAAATTTTTAGCTAAGATTTTAGTCTCCTGGAGCTTGTTTAGAAGGAATAAATACCCTATTGCTCTAAAAAGTCTTACAATTTAAAATCAACCAAAATTAATGTAATAAATGTGCTTCTCTATCATAATATATATTATATTACAATCATAATAATTGAAATAAAAAGAAAAAAAGACTGGTTTGACAATTAAAAAAAACTGAACAATATTCAGCCTCTTTCGTCCTTAGGAAATACTATTCATGCATGTTGGAAAATATCCATTTTTTCAATTACTAATATACTGTTCCACTTTTATCTAATAGTATATTGTCATTTGATTTGTCTTAGAAAATAAAGCTCTTACTGCATTTCACTTGTGTTCTTGGTTATGCAGATAAGGAAAAGCAAGAATAAGAAGAGAAAAACGTTGCTCAGAATTTATTTATTTTTTAATAGTGCTACTTACAGGGTAAGGCTGAATAACTGTAAGGAGGATTGATTCTTTGCAGCTCCTGTAGAGAAAAGAGATGAGAATGACTATTTGTATTTCATGTTTTCGCGATAACATTGTTTTATTTTCAGATGAGAAATTGCTATTTCACAATGGTATGTTTATTGCAGCACAAGAATTTTGAAAACATACATTTCATTGATTTCCCTCCCCTTTAAAACAGACTGCTAATTTGCTAGTCAGAATGAGAGTAATGCTGATCAAGTAAACATTGCCTTCATCCTTAATTGGCTTTCAGTGAATTTACTTAAGGAAAATGCATAAAGCAGAGTTGAGACATCCCATGAATTACATGAAATACCGTAGCTAGGGACCACTCATGTGGATCCCAGAGGCCTTATCTTGCAAGGTTATTTTGAATCTGTTTGAATCTATGATTCCTAAGGAATTAGACAGTATCTAACTGTATCACCTGTAAATTAATTCTTTGCCTATAAGGATCTGACAGACGGCAGATAATTGTTAATGGGGGTGAGGTTTCCACTGACTTTAAAGAAGTGGGAGTATGCTTGATTGTCAAAAAGCCTCTCTCATTTTGGCTATTCTGAATAACTTTTCATCTGGTATCACATGTTCTCTTTTTAGAGAAGGTTGCTGATCCTGGGATTACAGCTAAGGAGAAAGTGGATTGTCTGGAACCATTTCAATCAGAATTCAACCTGGCTATGGATAGAAACTGTGTTTGTCACTTTTGTAGATGACCTTAGTGAAACCTGGATGTATTCATATCCAGGTTTCACCAAGGTCATCTACACAAGAGTGACTCTTCCTGATATGCTGAATCTTTCAGCTGCATTCAGTACCATTTATCATGGCTTCTTTTCAGGCAAGGATTAGGAATGGGGGCATTGTGCTGCAGTAGTTCTCTTCATTCTTGAATGGGGTGGTCATTGGTTACAGTCAGTGGTAATGGTCAGAAGTCAAGGCTTGGGTCCTGGATCTCATCTATATGAAACTTATGTATCAACATTAGATGAGAATCAATATGGAGATAATGTCTAGTTATAAATGACCATTCTGGCCAGACAGGAGAACTAGCTTAGGTCCTGTCTTGGTGCTGGTGGCTATTAGGAGAAAGCAAGCTTAGACCAAATTGCAGCAATATGGGGTGGCTATGGATTTGGAAACCAACTATTTTCACAATAATATGGGAACAGTAATATGTGAATGTCTTCTAACTGTAGTTGACATTTTTAAACTCTACTACTGAAAACAGTTTTGTAAGCTGTTTAAAATCTTCTGAATGGAATAATTTGAGCAAATCAATAACCAATCCAGGAAAAGAAAAGAATGAATAAAGGTAAAACATGTATGTTGTCAATGCTGTGACAAACCAAACTGAAGACATTTTCATTTTGTCTTCATTGCCACATTTGAGTTTAGAGATATTAGATGAAGGAAGGGGGGGGGATGTGTAGTTTCTTAGTTAGCCAAAACAATTCATATGTGTGAGAATCAAGGTCAGTATAGATAACATTTTGGTGGGCTGAAGAGCTGGGAGGAGAGCCTGTGTTTTGTAACAATTGGTAAATGTGATTTATGACAGCAAATTGGGGTGGGAATTGCAATTATAACTTTGTAACAGGGGGAGGGGATTTTTAGTCTTGGGTTTGCCTATGTACGTGCCGTTACTTTGTTTCTTAAATAAAATGTTCTCTAAGGAAGAAAGTTTTTCCTTGAAGTTCTTTTAAACGCCTTCATCTATCAGAACCATGACATTAACCCAAGACTCACATTCAATTTAAAAATTCACGGGGCCCTGAGTTCCGGTCATCTACCCAGAGTCTCAGGAGGATGACAAAGACTCACGGAAGACCCATAATAGAGAAAAAGGAGGAACCTGTCATCAGCACCGTGACCACAGCACCGTGACCGTGATCGGTGGGTGGAGTGCAGGTTATAGCCCCGATAGAAAGTGTGGTAATGGTAGTCCTGGTGGCAGGTGCAAGGCCTAAGGAACATAAGGGCCAGCAGGAACACATCTGCTCATCGGAGTGGACCCTGCCTAGCCTTATCAAATGCCTTACTGAAGTCTACTATGTCCATAGTATTTTTCTGGTCGATTAGTTTAGTCACTTTATCAAATAATGAAATAATTGGTTTGGCATGATCTGTTTTTGACAAACCCGTGCTGGCTACTAGCTATAACTTTGTTTGCTTCTAGTTGTCTGCAGATCTGTTTTTTGATGGTCTTTTCCAGGATCTTCCCAGCTATTGATGGTAGACTGATCGGTCTGTAGTTTCCTGGGTCTGTTTTTTCGCCCTTTCTTGAAGATGGAAACCACATCAGCCCATTTCCAATCCTCAGGTATGATGCTCCAGGATTTTTGAAAGATACGGTGCAATGGTTCTGAGATAATATCTGTCAGCTCCTTCAGAATTCTGGGATGTAATCTGTCAGGTCCTGGTGATTTATATTCATTAAGGTTGGATAGGTGTTCTCTTACTATTTTCTTGCTTATTTTAAGTTTTGATTTTTCAGTGGTTTTTTGGATATAATAATAAGTGGCTGTCCAGTCTCTTCTTAAAAACTTCCAGTGTTGGAGCATTCACCTCTTCTGGAGTCTATGTTGGGCTATAGTTTCTTTTTGTGTGAAGACTGATGCAAAGTATGAGTTAAGCAGTTGTGCTTTCTCCCTGTTGCCTGTTATTTCCTTGCCATCTTTTCTCATTAGTGGGCCTACAGTTTCCTTGGCTTTTTTCTTGTTATTGATATGTTGGAAGAAACTTTTTTTTATTATCCTTGATCTTTGTTTGTTTGCTTTCCTGACTTCATCTTTGCATGTTCTGGCTGTCTGCTGATAATCAGTCTTAGTTATGTGCCCCTCTTTCCATTTTTTGTATTTGTATTTTGTATTTGTCCTTTTTGTCTTTCAGTTTGCCAGAGAGATCTTTGTGCAGCTTATTTCTTGTTTTTCTTTTTCAGTGGTATTGTGCTGGACTGGGCTTTTATGATCCCATTTTTCAGAGTTTTCCACGCTTCTTGGGTTATTTTCCCCTTTAGGATTTTCATCCATGGGATCTTTCCTAGGTTTTCTCTGAGTTTGTTAAAGTCAGCTCTTTTGAAGTTTAAGATCCTGATTGGATTGTTTTCTGTTGCTAGTGTTTGCATTATATTAAATTCCAGTATGGCATGGTCACTTTCGCTTAAGGTTCCGGCAACTTCAACTCCCTCTATCACTTTTTCTCTATTAGTTAGTTATTACTTTAACAGATGCAATCTATTTTGAAGATAGAGCCACTTATTTAATAATAATAATAATAATAATAATAATTTGCCTGTAAGCAAAAACTGGTGGGATCACAAAATAGAGAAAGTCATAGAAAATGATAAAATTAAACTGCTCTGGGACTTCAGAATTCAAACAGACAAGCACTTGCAACATAACACCCCAGACTTAACAATTGTCGATAAGAAAGACAAAAAAGTCTGGATAGTGGACGTGGCAGTGCCTGGAGACAGCAGAATAGAAGAGAAAGAACTGGAGAAGATAACAAAATACAAAGACCTACAAATAGAAATAGAAAGACCGTGGCAAAAGCAAGCAAGGGTAGTACCAATAGTAATCGGCTCCTTAGGTGCAATCCCAAAACAACTGGAGCACCACTTGAACACCATTGGCATTGACAAATTCGCTATTAGTCAATTGCAAAAGGTGGCCTTATTAGGAACTGCTTCCATCCTGAGACGATATCTGTAATACCATCAAACATCCACATCTGCCTATCCCAACTCCTGGGTAAGGTCTCGATAGGTAGACAAAATGCCAAATCCAGTCTGAACATCTGGCTGACTGTGCGATGATCAATAATAATAATAATTATAATTATAATAATAGTAAAGTTGGAAGGGACCTTGGAGGTCATCTAGTCCAACCCCCTGCTCAGGCAGGAAACCCTACACCATTTCAGACAAATGGCTGTCCAGTCTCTTCTTAAACACTTCCAGTGTTGGAGCATTTACTGCTTCTGGAGGCAGGCTGTTCCACTGATTAATTGTTCTCACTGTCAGGAAGTTTCTCCTTAGTTCTAGGTTGCTTCTCTCCTTGATTAGTTTCCACCCGTTGCTTCTTTTCCTGCCTTCAGGTGCTTTGGAAAATAGCTTAATTCCCTCTTCTTTATGGCAGCCCCTGAGATATTGGAATACTGCTATCATGTCCCCCCTTGTCCTTCGCTTCGTTAAACTAGACATACCCAATTCTCGCAACCGTTCCTTATATGTTTTAGCCTCCAGTCCCCTAATCATCTTTGTTGCTCTTCTCTGTACTCTTTCTAGAGTCTCAACATCTTTTTTACATCGTGGTGACCAAACTGGATGCAGTATTCCAAGTGTGGCCTTACCAAGGCATTGAAGAGTGGTATTAATACTTCACGTGATCTTGATTCTATCCCTCTGTTAATGCAGCCTAGCATTGTGTTGGCCTTTTTGGCAGCTGCAGCACACTGCTGGCTCATATTTAGGTGATTGTCTACTAGGACTCCGAGGTCCCTCTCACAGTTACTACTATTGAGCATGGTGCCACCTATGCTGTACTTGTGCATTTGGTTTTTCTTGCCTAAATGTAGAACCTTGCTTTTTTCACCATTGAATTTCATTTCGTTAGTTAGTGCCCAGTGTTCAAGTCTGTCCAGATCCTTCTGTATCTGAAGCCTGTCTTCTGGAGTGTTGGCTATTCCTGCCAGCTTGGTGTCGTCTGCAAATTTGATGAGTTCCCCATCTATCCCTTCATCCAAATCGTTGATGAAGATGTTGAAGAGTACTGGGCCCAGAACAGAGCCCTGGGGCACCCCACTACACACTTCCCTCCATATAGATGCAGTTCCATTGAGGACCACTCGCTGAGTACGGCCGGTCAGCCAGCTACGGATCCATCTGGTGGTGATTCTGTCTACCCCACATTTTTCTATCTTGTCAAGTAGTAGGTTGTGATCTACTTTATCAAATGCCTTACTGAAGTCCAAGTAAATTATGTCCACAGCATTCCTCTGATCCACTAATTT